TATTTATACTGTATATTTTTATTTTACTGTCACAGCTCTAACCCTCCTTTCTATTGGCTATAGGGGCCGGCAAAGGGATCTATTTTAAACATAGAAATGTTTTTATTAACATCTCATCATGGATCAGTCAGCAGCAGCAGTATTCATTTCATGTCTGGATGGATGGAGATCTACCTGCAGCAGGGAGAGACGCAGCGTGAAGAAGCCTCCTGTCGGTGCTCTGGGACCGGGGAGGAGGAGCTCTCAGCAGCACAATGGAGAAATGTGTTCAGAATCTCTATAAGTTTCAATAACACCAGAAAAAGAGTCGCTAGATTTTCACTAGTCACTTTTCTGAATAACCGTCTCTAGAGGGTCTGAAAACTCTAAATATAGCGAGGAAGTCGCTAAATCAGCACCGCTGTGTTCCACAACCCGCCACCTCTCATGTCAGCGAGCAGCTGAACAGAATTTCTCACAAGACCTGAAAAAGACTTTCCCAAACGTCCAGTTCAGTAGCTTGTCCTCCCTGGTGCTGTGGCTTTAAGAGGCCGTGGAGCGTCACGCGGGGACTTGCTGACATTGCGCCACCTGGGTGTGGCGTCCCGAGCAGTGAAGCTGTGCAGACTTCCTGTCCGCAGCCAGGTGTTTGTAGGACCTGCGTCTGGCACCATGTCTGACTGGAGGAAGAAATGTGAGGCTGAGTGGGGTCTGCAGGGGGTCGCCATGCCGGACGGTGTGGATTGGAAGTCCGTGTATGAAGCCAARCCTCTGGGACGGAACCTGCTGAAGAACCCGGCTCCGCTCGGTACTGAGTTTGTTTTCCTGACTTTCTGTTTACAGACAGGACTGTCTGACAGTCTGCAAACAACCTGCCTGTGATCAGCTAAAAAGACTAAAATTACAGTTTTACAAATATTTCTCTAAAGTTGTGTGGTACTTGAGTAATCTCAAACACTCTGAGGGTAATAGATCGCACAAGATTACGTTTCAAATTTTGACAAAAAATAATTGGATAAAGCAAGTTTTTTTAAGCAAAAATATTTCATGAACCACTGGACAAATTTAAATAAAACTTAAAAATAACAATTGGCCATACAGTCACATTTGATCTGCTCTGTCAGTGTTTCCGCCTGTTTCTAACCTGGGTGTGTGTTCAACAAGACAAAAGTTTTGCTTTTAATTGTATTTATATATTTAGGAAAGCTTTATTTAACCAGGCATGGATGGAGGCTTATTTACAAAGTATTCAGCTTTTCTCCTTGCAGCTTTGGGACTTGTCACAAAGCTTCTTATAGAAAGAAAACTTTTATTTTTTTTTCAAGGAGTTGCAACATTTTTAATGAAGTCAAAATGTGATTATAAAAACTCCCAAAAGTTCAGAGTTGTTTGCATAAAAATGACAATTCTCTGAACATCTTAACGTTTATTTAATTGCAAAAGTCCCGGCAGGTCAGTGCAAGTTGCACAAGGAGATGTGTTGGCCCATTGGCTCCCACGCCTCAGAGAAGATTGTGCAACATCACAAATCATGATCTTTATGGCGGACCACCCTCGTCAGATAATGGTAGGGCAAACACTGGCAGTTATTTCAAGATGATCACTGAAGCTAATTGATATCCAACTCGGATCAAGACGTCCTGCAATATTTCCTAAGTTTGCACAGAACGATTTTTTTTTTTTGTCTATGAGCACAAATATCATTTCTCAACAAATGTTCCTTATTTCAGCGTATGATCACGGCCGGCCTTATTTTTATTTTTTATTTTTTTTTATTTTTTGTGGTAACTGGAGGAAATTGAGCCAACATGGCACTTCCTCAGAAATGTGTAATAAAAACAAGGGGAAGAAGACAAAAAAAGAGTTAACAGTGACAGAATACTGGTCGTACTACCTGACCAGTATACTGTTGGAAAACAGTCTTAATAAGGAAGCTGAACACTTAACATTATTACCATTGTCCTAATTATATGATTTTCTTACTGTTTTGAGGTTTCACTTCACAACGAACCTTCAATTTCAGCCTTTTGTGTTAGTTTAACAGATTGTCAGTGGAAAAGGTTAGTTTTTTTCTGTTGGGTGTGTCTGACCCTGTGGACGATCCTGGCTAAAGTTTAAACATGGTGCTTGTGCACATTGCTGACTGTTGAACGCCCTGCCCATGAGGCTGACTGGTGACTTTTAAAAAAAAAACAGCTTAAGATACTTTTGTTCAGACAAGTTTTTGCTACATGTATTACTCAGTGTTTGTATTACTCTGCATGTAAACTTGTTTTATTGTATGCTTTTATGTTCTTATTATATGTTTTGTATTTATTATAGTTTTGCTCATTGTGAAGCACTTTGTGATGTTTACCTGTGGAAAAATGCTGCACAAGTAAATGTATTGACTTGCAGCCAGTAAATCTGTAAAACACACAGTGTTTTGTTTGTTTTGTGATATTTGATCTGATTGATTGTTGTTGTTGTGCAACAGGGCTGAGTAAGGACAGCCCTCCACCTGAGCCTGAGATGCCTGAAGTGCCCCCAGGTGGACCTCCACGGTTTCAACCTGACGGTGAGGCACAGATGTCATAAGCATCTTCTGATAAATGTTTTGGTTTTATTAAGTGTTACTTTTTATGTTTCAATTTCTAGGTGACTTTACCAACTGGTCCACAAGCACAGAAGTCCTGCCATATGACACCAGTGGCATCCCAGAAGGTGCTGTGATCTGTGCATTGCCTCAGTTCAGGTAAGAGTCACAACAGATGTGACGTTAACCACTTAACTGGATACAGTCTAGGGCTGTGTATTGGCAAGAATTTGGYGATACGATACATATCATGACAGAGGGGTCACGATACGATATATCCCGATATATTGCGATACTGTAAGCAAGGCAATATATTGCGATTTTTTTTGTCCAAAAATTCTATTAAATAAAAACCTCTCACAGGAGAAAAAAATGAAAAACCAAAATTCATTGTCTCAGAAAATTCTAACATTACATAGACATACTTTTGATACATTTAGCTGTGTTCTGCTTTGTATGTATTTAATTTATTTGTTTCATATTTCTTATTTCATCCATGTTTTCAATTATTAGACTAAATTTGACAATAAATAGTTTGAAAATATATATTTTGCAGCTTTTAGTTTTTAATATTAATTTACAATATGGTCACCCAACACTTAACAATGGCCTCTACCTCAAGAGGTAGAGGAGCCAAATGTCTGGCTCACTGCTGCCAACTAGTGGTCAGAGGCTGAACTACAACATAAAAATGAACGGCTGGCAGGAAAGCTGACATTTTAAACCTTAATTAAAAATCGATACAGGGCTTTAGAATATCGATACAGTATCAGGAAATGAAATATCACGATATTTCAGTGTATCGATATTTTCTTACACCCCTAATACAGTCACAGAAAAAAAAACACATTTCATTTTTAAAAGTTTTAATACAAAATAGTAATAAAAAACAATGATCTGTTTTTCAGGTTGTAACATTATTTTAATCTGATCTCAGGTTAAAAAACACACAACAATACAACATGTAATTATTTAAAAAATGCCAAAATTGAAAAGCCACGTTTACAAACCTCAGTCCACCCTTACTGTGTTCAGAGGATTGAAGATCAATATCAGATAACCAATATGTTCATTCACAGATCATCATCAGTGGGATGAAGGGTTAAATGTCGTTTGCAAACTATCTGGAGTCCATCATTTTACAGAAAAAAAATTATTCACAAGTGGAAAACAGACTGCTACCAATCTACTCGGGTGGACATGCACAGCTAAAGTCCTGCAGGGTTCATTGAAATCCTCCAGAGCTCCAGCTCAGATTCTACAGGCCTCAGTCAGCAGGTTCAATTCACTTCTATTCTTTGCACAACTTAGGTTTTATATAAACAGAGTTGCACATAAGCGGTGCGCGTGCGTGATCAAAAMAGAAAAAGCGCACCAGATGGAGCGTCATGAAGCTCACTTGCGAACCTAAGATTGTATCTGATTGTCAAAACAACAGCTAGCAGGGCTCTAGAGTGCGACCAGTTTGGTTGCAAATGCAACCTCATTTCTTCAAAAAATAAATAAATCCAGCTGCACTGGTGTGACTGGATCGTTGTTTGGTGCTCACCAAGCCTCTGAGCAGCGGGACCCTGATACAAGGATTAAACGGACACTGCCTTCAATAAATCAGACGAAGTCCAGAGCCGTTTTATCCAATCAGAGCAGAGCAGGGCAGGACTTTCCGTCAGAGCTTTTTTTTTCAGCTGAAGTGCAGGGGGCTGCTGCGGTCAGTCTGACATCTCCTCCTGCACTTTGCTCCTGAGCTACTTGGACTTTGGTCTGTAAAACATAACTTTATATTAAATATATGTTTAGAGTGTCGTTATCAAACAGATCTGTCCAACTCTGTGTGAGTGACTAAACTCTCCTCCTGATGAGAGACTGCTGTGAGGGGAGCACGTCTCTGCGTGTGCAGGCTGAGTCTTTCTGTGAGATTCACTGTTTGAGTTCTTCTAATTAAACCACATTAACTGTAACAGAACAKTKGTTTGCCCCAGATTAAAGCAAAGATGATTCTCTGTTTAACACAGGGGTCTGCAACCTTTACAATCAAAAGAGCCATTTCTGCTACTTGATGCACTAATAAAATGTGTCTGGAGCCACAAAACAAGCTGCAACTGTGATTATCAACTGGTGGTCCGTGGGTCTTTTCGAGGCCTTTTCAGGAAACTTTCCTGGCCAGTGGAGGTGACGTTATAAAACTAAAAATATATATTGTGAATTTTATTATTTATTATTGTTATTTTTACCCATCAGGACATATGAAAAGTCTATATTCTTGTAAACAAGAAAATACTGTGCATACACAGAAATTAAAAAAAACTAGTACAACTGAAGTATTAAGGCATGTTTTTTTTCCAATTCTTATTATGGTGTTGTCTTCAAATTCTTTAAAGGTAATTCTGATGGATTTGAGAGAAAGATCATGGAAAGTTGGATTATTTAAGTAAACAACAGGCTAGCATGAGCTAATCATCACATTTTAATTTTTGTATTAGTAGTATTTATCACATATTTGCATACAAATAATTTCTATTGTAGGTATGAAAACCAAATAATAATAATAATAATAATAATTCAGTTATTTTTGGTCACATTTTCAAAGAGCCACATGCGGCCCCAGAGCCACAGGTTGCAGACCCCTGATTTAACATCACCCCCATCAAAAAAAATAAAAATATATATGTATATGTACATATATATATGATATTTTTAATCTAAACAATCAATGATTTCTAAAGGAGAATCAGGAAAATTAACAACGATGCCCAAACCTTTTCATATGACTGTACAATGAGAGTTACTGCAGTTAAAGGAGGTTCTACAAGCTATGGGATCAGTTATTTTACTGTAGCTTTTCCATTTTGTTTTAGTTTGTGTTTAATAAATAAAATCATGGTGGATTTTGTTGTGTGTTTTTTGTATGCTTTAGGTTATTTTTGAACAGTTTTAGAACCTGGTGAATATAAAATCATTTTTATTTTTTGCTAAGTTTTGGACTTTCTTTTCCCGTGAATGTAAAGAAAGAATTGTCTGTAAAAATTCTCTTCATTTGGTCCTTTAAAAACTGCTGTGTACTTTTTAAAACTGACCCAATGCAGATAGTAAATTTGCATGTGTTTTAATGCATTTAGGGTCAAGTTTAGACTCTTACCTGCTCTCTCATCCTCAGCTGGTTCACCTTGGAGCAGGTTGTGGACCTGAAGGCAGAGGGATTGTGGGACCAGCTGCTGGATGATTTTCAGCCAGACATAGTAATTCAAGACTGGTGAGTTGGTGAGCACTACCGTCCACACCCTGCTCTTCTGCCCTTTTGTAACACAGTGTGTGTTCAGTTTCCTTTTCTGCAATAGCAAATTGACAAATTATTCTAAAATGATGCAACATATGACTGATTGCCAAATACGTGTGACAAAATTACAAGCTGTGCAATTCACCAAAGCTCTTAAAACCAGTTCACCTTCATTTGGTTTCCACACTGTCAGTACTGTGCTTGTTTGTGGTCCTCATAACTACTTTCAATGGGACTGTTTCACTTGCACCTTCTGAGCTGTGTTAGCATCAGAAAGAAAAATAAAAGTTTTTGTTGTTGCCTCAATAAATTCTGTCTCTTTCAACCACAACTCAAAACTAGGGCTGTGTATTGGCAAGAATTTGGCGATACGATACACATCATAACAGAGGGGTCACGATACGATATATCCCGATATATTGCGATACTGTAAGCAAGGCAATATATTGCGATATATTGCGATTTTTTTTGTCCAAAAATTATATTAAATAAAAACCTCTTACTGAAAAAAAAAGATAAGCTAATGTTTACTTACAATGCTAATGCTACCCTTACTCTCTGGCGCTCAAGAGGTAGAGGAGCCAAATAGCTGGCTCCCTGCTGCCAACTAGTGGTCAGAGGCTGAACTACAACATGAAAATGAATGGTTGGCAAGGAGGTTGACATTTTAAACCTTAATTAAAAATCGATACAGGGCTTTAGAATATTGATACAGTATCGGGAAATGAAATATAGTGATATTTCAGTGTATCGATATTTTCTTACACCCCTACTCAAAACCCTTCATGTCTTCATTATAGATTGAACTCTGACAATTCTCTGTTCTAACCTTAAAAAAAAAAATCATCTTTAGAAAAGTGTGTTTTAAATGTGTAATTTATAAATGTAAGTTTTGTGTCATATTTTATTGGATATTATTTTACCGTAGCCCACGTGTCAAATTCGTGGCCCGCGGGCAAAATGTGGCCCTCCACAGCATTTCATGTGGCCCTTCGAGAGCTTCAAAGGTGTATTAATGTCTTAAAATAAGTGTGTGCTGCTTTAAAAAGAGAGTCTTGCACATGAACTGCATCTCTAATGTTGATTATTTAACCTGTGAAATGATGCCATCCCACCAATTGGTTGAGGTGCACGGAGATCAAAAGTAAAATTCGCTGAGTAAAATATCCATTTGCCTGTATTTTTGCTACAGCCCAGTTGTAGTGCAAAGTCAAAATTTCCCTTTTCCAAGTCATGCAATAAATAAAATACAATAAAATAATCAGTCAATCAAATCAATCAATCAATACACTTAAGCTGGAACTCCTCTCCAGTGGGAATTCCCTGTTGGAAAGTGGGAAAGTTTGAAATTCAAAATGACAGCTACTCACCATAACTCAACAATAAATAAAACTCGAAGTTAAACATGAAACGATGAAGTTAATTACAACTAGGTGTTTTAGGACAACCATTATGCTCACGTGGCCCTCGGTCGTCCCTGCCTTAGACAAATAAAACCTTTTTTCAAAGATTTTAGAAAACAGAGCAGTTCATTTTATCTTATTTTGTCAGGTATGAGGAGAGTCAGCTGCATGAGTCTATCTACAAACTGCATGTGAAATTACTGGGAGCAGACAAAACTACAGTGATCCAGGAGCACAGAGCCAGCCCCACAGAGGACCTGAGCGTGTATTCACACAACTGGAAGGAGGTAAGCCGCTCTGCCCCCTGGCTGCAGTYATCTGTATCAGAACCTTTCACTGTACACTGTTGTTTTGGGCTGCAGGTGTCTCATGTGTTCTCTGGCTACGGACCTGGGGTGAGATATGTCCACTTCCAGCACCAAGTGAAGAACAGTTTCCTGAATGATTTCTTCCCCACACGCTTCACTGGCAGCTCTGTAATTGTAAAGCCAGTCAAAAGTAGTCCCTGATCTGAATTAAACCAATCAAACTGCATTAATCAACAGAACATCCTGTTAGAATTCTTAATAAAATAAAGGTCTTAATAAACCTTGTTGTCATGTTTCACTTTTCACAAAAATGGTTAAATGGACTGTACTTAYAGACCGTCTGTCTATCCAACCAGGATATTCAGTTTTACAGCACAATCTGTCCTCATTTACACACACATACCTACTATGTCTCTATATCCTTGTGGGGACTTTCCATTGACTTCCATTCATTTTTTTTTTTGAAAATTTTATATCCTAACCCTGACCATTTACCCCAAAGTTAACCTTACAGGTTACCTGCCCTAAAACTAACCTAAACTCAATTCACACCTTGGTCCTAAATCTAACCCCCACTATTCACTTCGATCCCCACGAGGCTGCTTTTTTTGGTTAAAAAAAATCCCCGGAATTGTTTTCAGGCCATTTTAATTTTTTTTTATTAAAGCGTTAGAATGAACTAGTTGCTTGTTGCAAAAGACTGACTAATTCAGAGTTCCTTTTGTCATTTACTGTTTTCACATGAAAACAAAATTGTGTCCATAATAGCAGTGTCATCCAATAAATCATCATACAAGTCATTTGATTTATTAAATTGATTCATTAAAGTTGGTAGAAATTGATTACAAAAACAGTATTTATAGTAATTTTAAAACCAAAGGCAAAGCAGTAACAAATAACAGCTGAAGGATGTGGTGGAAGCAGTGTTTGAGTGCCGRTGTTCTGTCCTTGATGCTCCGCAGGCTCCTCTCAGGAAGAAGACAGGCAAAAGGCTGGGCTGGAATGCATGGGCAAAGTGTGTGGAGGAGTTAGAGAGGTTATGACCCCMACAATARTTTGATCCAGGAAAAAAAATGTTACAATGTAGTAAAATCGTTACTACATTGTTGTTAAAAATGTAGTACAAAAATTGCAAAATGCAGTGGTTTGGGAACCACTGCACTTTGGTTCCCAAAGTTGGGCTTGGGACCCAATTATGGGTCATGAAGCACCTTGGATAATCTCCAGAAATCAA